GTATCAAAACGAAATAAAAAAAGGTTACAAGGAATTACAACATTGGTAAGAATTTTTTTTTTAAACATAAACCAAAAATTCTAGAAACGAAAATTTATATCCTCTAAGATGAATCTGTTGCAAGTTTTTTCTTTTAAAAAAAAATCTTAATCGTTTTTCAATCCTAAATTTTTAAAATCCATTATTCTTATTTAAGAAACCCAGCACTTCTATTTTTTTTTTTCGTTCAAAATTGGAAATGAAATTTTCGTTCTCTAAAAACCTCGAGCGAGTAGTTCCGTTAAGTTCAAAATTTCATCAATAATTTCGTTTTTTAAAATATTTCACAGATCCTTTTTTCTAATTTTTATTTTCTATTCGTTTCAAAGAAAAGATAGCAGTATTTTTAATTCAATTGAAGATTTTATTTCAAATTGAAGATTTAAAAATAATTAAAGATTTTACTTTATATTATAATTACACACAAAATGGTGATTAAAAATTTAAATAATAAAATAAAATAAGAATTATAAAATTATTGTATTCACAGTATTTACTGTGTCAGGTAAAATTTTACAGCATTGTTAATCGTACAGTCTTTATAAGGTCTGTGAATTTTGAGTTTGTAAATTCCAAAGCTATTTACGAATAGCTTCCGTTTTAGTTCAATGCATAGAAGTTGAAAGGAGTAGCGTCTTATTAAAAATAATTTTAAAATTATCAAACAATTATTGCTGATTAATATTATTAAAAAATTATATCTTTCATACTGTTCTGTTCTCAGTATACTTTTTTGAGATGTATTTTAAAATTAAGTCCTAGCTAACAACAGGAAACAAATAAAGAGCTTATAAAGGAAATTTTATGAGAGATTATTCGGTGAGACTTAAAAAGCTGAATACTCAAATATTGCGAAATTCGTTTTTTGATAAATGCTATATACGATTTCTGTTACGTTATATTACGCTTTTTGATTTATGCGATTTCCTGATAGCTATACTTCCCCCCCCCCCGAATTCATCCATGGGGCAAAATAACTATCGTTACTTCTTCTAGGAAACGTATTTTCTTAAAACTGAAGAAATATTTTGTCATTCCATTTTTTACGAAAAAATAATAAAAGCAAACAACTCGTAATGTGTAAAATGGTGTTTAGAAAAGTGTCTAACTTTTCTAAATACCATTTTATCAAGGGCAGTTGGATCAATATCGTCATAACAATACAGAGACAGATAGAGCAGAAAAATTATTTACACCCGAAGCGTGGGATTCGATCCAGATCTTCCTTGTATAAGAGCGAATCCTTGACCACCCATCAGACCAGTTGGCTTACTTCGTCACTTTATGCTCGATTGTCAAGTATTCATCAAAGTTTCTTAATTCTAGTTAACAATCTCCCACAATGCACTATGATGAATGAGGCTACGAGTTGAGGAAACATTTTCTTCATATATTTTTGATAGTTCGCATTAGGTCACAAATCACGTGATTTCGTCAAGAAATTACTTACTAGCGAAATATAGCTCAAGAATTGCTTAATCGTCAAAAGTGAGAATTTTATTTCAGAGAATGTAGGCGATAGTTAACGAAAGATTACAAAATGGCAGATACGATTGCCACTCCTAGCTCGCATCGACCTCAACGCTGGCGTAAAATATCCTCAGTGGTAGACAGATCATGGATTAGACTCTCCTGGCCGTCAGGCTAACCGTGGGAGGCTTTCGTGATTTTTCGCATGTTCGTGTATATTTAGATCATACGCATCTTTACGTTACGCTGGCGTGATTAACACTACAAAGACAAATCTACAAGCACGCTGTTAATAGCTGTTAAATGTTGTTTTCTGTTTAAGCCTGCCTTCGAATTAAAAACATGGACATAGATTGCGAATTTCTGAAGAAATGTATTGATGAAATTTAGAAATGAATCACGCTATCCTACAACAATTGGTTCATTCAATAAATAAATAATGTTATCGGTTTCTATTTAGTATTACGCTTGTCAAATTGCTTTAGTTCCATAAGAAACTAAATAAATTTTTGTATGTATTCATAAATTATATTTATTTTAACTATACAATTTAATTAAAAAAATTATTAATCAAGAGAAGTTCAATAATATTTTTCAAATATCATTATTAATAATGACATAATTCTTCAGTTCTGAATTCACCAAAATCTATAATCTACCCAATTTCTTTGCTCACAGATTCGCAGTTTTATGTAGAGAAAAGCCTTTTGAATCGTATGCCACAGTTTTAAAGAGATAGTCTACGTCTATTGTTAATGTTCGTTTTGATTTTGTAGTCAAAGTTGCAATAATAATCCACAACGTTAGCGTTTTTAACTTACGATTTTTTTCAAAATCTCTTATTTTCAATTGCATAAATTTGGTATTTTTTCGCGAGTGCATGAGCAATTATTTGAAATCTTACGCACGGAAACGTACTGAAGCTAACTTAAATTTACGAAATCTCCTTATTTATTTATTATTCACTTTATTCTCTGCTATTTTTACGTTTATAATTTTGGTTCATTCAATGTAGAAGGTTTAAAACAAAGCAAAAAATTTGCATCTTTATTTGTTTAGAGAGTTAATGCTCTAAGATTGCTTAATTACGTTACATTTATGATAGATATTCAGTTACCATTTTGCAATTATGAAACGATTAATAATTTATACATTTTTTAATAATAGATTATATTTACGCGAAGTTTTAGGTAAAACTGTATTCTGTTAACGTATGCAGTCAAAATAATGGTTACAAAATAACTATTGAAAACTCCAAATTAAATAACTTTTCGCACTTTTGCAATAAATAATATCTTCAACGAAAAATACTTAACCAACTTTCATAATAATTAAAGAAATCGATTTGTGACTTAAAAAAAAAACAAGTTAGGGGAGGATATTGTAATAGAAGCCAAGTAAGATTATAACTAAGGCCCGGATTTTGATGACATTTGCATTTTTTTGCATTTTTTGCATTTTTGGACCTTTTCTTGTGTTTTAGAGCATTTTTTAGATTTATAGGGCATTTTTCTTTAAATTTTGGGGCGTATTTTGCCTTTTAATGCATTTTTTTTAAAGTTTTTTGTTAATTTTTTCCAATTTTTATTATTTTTTTTATCAATTTTCATTATTACACTGGCTTCCAAACAATGAAGAAAATCTACAGAATATTAACAGGTGAAGCAAAATCTTTTCAAATTGAAGAAGAATTGTCAGTAAGTGAGACCGTCTTTTTCATGTAGGGGAGAGGGGGGCACATGTGAACAAATTTTTTTATTTCTTCACTTTTCGAAAAATATCATCAATTTTTCATAGTAAAAAATCCATATGTTTAAATAGTATTTTCTTTGTCTTGTGGAATTTTTTGAGATTTTTCAATAAAATATTTCTTTACTTTATAATATTTAAGAAAAATAACTTCAATTGTTCACATGTGCCGCTATTGGGGGCACATGTGAACAGGCCTGGGGCACATATGAACAAGATTAAAAACACAAAGCAATCATCATATTTCAAAGAAAAAAAATCTTTAATATAACAGATATAGATACGCATTATACTGAGGGGGTTGAAGCTTATTATGTGAATTTAAATTGTACAACAGTACTGTCAATAAGAAAATAATTTTTCAGCTGTACAATAATTTATCCGTAATTGGGTTTTTCGCAACTTCATGTTCCACGGGTGTTGTAATGGGCCTTTTTCTTTCTTCTCTAATACTCTTTCATGCTTTTTTTT